TACCCAAAAGCATGCTCTACGTATGTACAATTTCTAAAACGGGGTAAATTATTGACAAACAAGTTGATGAAACAAGAATATCAGCAGTCTCGTTTAAATTCATCATTTTGTAAGTTCTATGGTCGATACAATGATGTTGTCAGCAAATACAATTTATCATTGAGTCAAATGCTGACTGACGTTTTTCATACTAATTGTTAGACCATTATTTACACACTGAATTGTCGACGGATTTTTCCGTTATTTCCCGATCATGACAAGGAGTACACGGTGGGTGTGACCGGTCGGCAGGGGATGCTCACTCCTCCATGGCACCGGATCCCACCTCTGATGTTTTGGAGATCCGTGTTTGCTCTGCTCCTATTTTGTATTGTTTAATGGACTTTTGAGCTTGAATACTGTTTGTTAACTCCATATATATCATCAAGTAATCTAACCTCCACTAAGAGTACCTTTTGAAATTATCAAATTTATCAAACTCACATTCGAGTTTTAAATACTTTCAACATTCCAGTCAATGGAAGTGAATTTGATTTACCGTACCTATACTGGATTTCAAAAGTTCATAAACATCCTTACAGGCAAAGATTTATTGCAGGGTCCAGTAAATGTTCAACGGAACCCTTATCCTCAGAAAAGGAATCTTGTGAGCAAGTTTGTTAGAAATTGATCCGGTGGTTCCAAGAATACAACAGTCAGACGGATTCCTGGACTCTTCGACCAGGAAAGCATACTTTAACCTATGCTTTCATCTGAACAAACCAGATTTCTCGCTTTCTCTCTTAGGTCAATATTTGACCTAATGATTATCGTATTCGTTGACAGGGTCATTGTATCGACCATAGAACTTACAAAATGATGACTTTGAATGAAACTCTTTATATCCTTGTTTCATCGAATAATTTGTCAATAGCTTGCCTCGTTTTAGAAATTGTTCATACGTCGATCGAATCAACTTGGACACATAAACCCGATATGCAGGTGATAAGGGTATACATGTATTGCTATACATGTAAGGGAAGTTGACATTAAAAAATGAAGTTATCACGTTTATCATAAAGTCTTGATGTTAGATTACCATTAACATTTTTTTCTAGTAAAATACCCAAATATGAAACAAATTTCTCAGACTCTGTGGTATCTTTTATTTTAAGTTCATTTGGATATATACATAAATGGAAAGTAACTATTGTTAATTGATAATACGTCGTCGATATCTAAATGTCAAGTTGAAGACTTTCTTCTTCTCATGTATATTTATGAATAAATTCTCCTTCATATATGATTACAAAAAGTGTCTGCTAACAACGGGGCGCAATTGGTACTCATAGAACTCCGACAAATTGTCAGAATTTAAGACCTGATCTCAAAAAAATACAGAAATATTAATTGTCAATCAGAAACTCAAGACAAGTGACATTCACTACTAGTGACGGGCGCTTGGCAAAGGAATCGCGAATAAAAGGTGTCGCCTATAATAATTGGTTTACAGTATATACCTATTACCTTATTTATAACGAGAACATATAATTATAAAAAAATGTATTATATTTATCATGTACTTTAATGATGCTGTTATATTTTCTACAAAACCCATGTTCCCAGATCTCCTCAGATCTCCTCGTACACTTTTTTTGCAGCCAAATAATCTTTTCAAATATAATTTCATGTAGATGTGCAATAAGCTTTCAATTTAGAGGTGAAAAAAAGAAGTTTTTTTCTAGAAAAAACTGGTTCCCAAAATTCCTTTTACGTTTTACGCAAAAAGGCGTATAATTTTTTTTGGATATGATTTGCGGTGTTCTCTGGTTTTGCCACATGGCCACGTGAACATTTTAAGTTCAATTTGATAAAAGTATAGTTTTTCAAAACAGAACGTTTGTGGCTTCATCACTAAATACCCATGAACAAAAGTAGCTCTTACAATAGCTCTTCAATTAAGTGTAGCAGATCAGAATTAAATATTTGGCCTTCCTTTTACATGACCAAAAGAAGGTTTCCCCCTCCAGAATATTTTTGTCGATATAATAGCATACCATAGAAAACGTAGCTAATGTAGCTACTTTATGCCCACTTATGCCCAATCAAAATAGGTCTGATAAACTTTTTTTTTGCTCGTCAAGGAATTGTTGCTTGGTACCCCCCCCCCTTTCCAAACTGAAAATGTTTTGTTGTGCCCCAGAATGAAATTACTTCTTGTTTTAAAATAACAGAGGAATCTATATTTCACTCGCTAAAATTAAAAATATTACACAGTATCATAAAATATCGAGATAACGAACAGTATTCGTCTCAAAAATCCATTCAAACAATACAAACCAAGAGCAGAGCAAACACGGACCTCTAAAGCATCAGAGGTGGGATCAGGTGCCATGGTGGAGTGAGCATCCCCTGTCGACAGGTCACACTCGCGTCCTTGTCATGATCGGGAAAAACGGAAAAACCCGTAGACGTTTCAAAATGATGGCCTAACAATTAGTATGATTGATTGATTGATTATTATTGTTTAACGCCGAGTAACAATTAGTATGAAAAAGGTCAGGCAGCATTTCACTTAATAATAGATTGTATTTGTTAACAAGATCATTGTATCGACCATAGAACTTGCGAAATGATGACTTAAAACGAGACTGTTGATATTCTCGTTTCCTCAACTTGTTTGTCAATAGCTTGTCTAATTTTAGAAATTGTTCGTACGTAGAGAATATTCTTGCGTATCGAATCAACTGAGAGACAACCCCCATATGTATGCAGGTTATAAGGGTATCTTGCTATATAAGTAAGGGAAGCTGAGAATTGAAAAGTTTAAGTCATCAAGTTTATCATAAATCTTTGTTGTTAGGTTACCGATAACGTCTTTTTTCTAGTAAAAATGACAGTTCACCGTAGCTCAGTCGGTAGAGCGCTCGCTCCGTGATCGGGAGGTCGTGAGTTCGAATCTCGGCCCCGACAGACCTAAGTCGATAAAAAATGGGTAGCAACTGTTCCTTCGCCATGCGCTCGGCACTTTGAAGTGAAAGTTGCGGGTCCCTCGGATGAGACCTTAAAAACCGAGGCCCCGTGTTGCAGGCGTTGGCAAGTTAAAGATCCCTCACTGCTCAATGGCCCTTAGTGCCGAGTAAAGGTCAAAATTTGAAGCCCTTAACCGGTATATGGTGACGTCTCTGTATGAGTGAAAAATTCTCGAATGGGACGTAAAACAACATACAATCAATCAATCTAGTAAAAATGGAAGTAACTATTGTTAATTGATAAAACGTAGTCGATGTATCTTAGTGTCGAGTTAAAGATCACAGCAAGTGTTTTCTTCTTTTCATGTGTAATTTTTTAATAAATGCTGCTTCATATGAATACAAAAATAGGTCTGCTAATAACGGAGCGCAATTGCTACCATGTTATTCCAGCAGATTGTTTGAGGACCTGGTCTCGAAAAAAAAAAACTACCTAGATATTGTCAATCAGAAAAGCATCTTTTTAGTATCAAATTCAGTGTACTTGTGTGTACATTCATAGTGTTTTTTAACAAAATAATTTTCCATTTGTATTGTATAATTTTTTTCATTTCATTATATAATTTTCATTGTGTAATTTTTTTATTGTATTTTATAATTTTGCCATTGTATTGTATAATAATTTTCATTTTTATGGATATAATTTTCCTTTTTAAATCTATATATTTTTTTTTGCATTGTATTTTTTCCTCCTGTAAAATTTATAAAATATAAACGGAAAATTATACTCTCAATGCCTAGTTCACTATACAGTTAAATTAAAAATGACCACCCCCTCTGGTTCCGACGCCTATGAATATCATGGTAATATGATAATAAATTTCAGAATTATTTAGTGTGTATAATCTACTTATGAATTTTCATAAAAATAAGGAGAAACATGTATCCTTTCTGGAATTTACAAGTCCTTTACTCAAGACTTGGGAAGGAAGAAAGTGCGGTTGTTTGTTTGTTTGGTTTTTTTTTTTGGATGATTGATTTTTTTAACACTTCATCTAATTCTTGATGAAATCATCAATTCAAATAGATCTAGTTCTTTTATACATCTTCAATAAGCATGGGTTAAATGCCTCTCTTCCTTTAGTCATATTTGTATCATATGACAAAATATCTTGTTACGTATGAAACTCTTGTTTTCGGCAGTATTACCTAGTTTCTATGAAATGAAGAGTTTATTAGATTTGAACATATTTTATTGAAATAAATATATACAAAAGGATTGGGCACATTTTCTTGATATTTGAGTCGCCCTCTCGAATCATTGCAGCTTATTTGGCTTATTATTTTACAAAAAAACTATATTTAGATTATTGACAAAGTTATGAATATCAACAGGACACATTTCCCCTCTAATGATTTTGAAACCTGCTATGCCAATATACAATGCAAACAAAAAATCCCATCTGATTTACTTGTACACAATTTAGTTGAGAAAAACTGAGCAGAGTAACTTTTCAGCATCCACTCCAGTGAAGAATTTATTGACCTTATAAAAGCTATGATTACAGCATCGTTAAACCAAGCGTTCATAGGGTTTATATCTCTCAGTTGATTCGATATGCAAGAGCATGCTCTACGTATGAACAATTTCTGAAACGAGGAAAGTTACTGACAAACAATTTGATGAAACAAAAATAGCAATCTTCTTTAAAGTCATTATTTCGTAAGTTTTATGGTCAAAACAATGACCTTGTCAGCAAATACAATTTATCATTAAGTCAAATGCTGACTGACGTTTTTCATACTAATTGTTTGGCCATTATTTACACACTGAATTGTCGACGGATTTTTTCCGTTATTTCCCGATCATGACAAGGATCACACGGCGGGTGTGACCGGTCGGCAGGGGATGCTTACTCCTCCATGGCACCTGATCCCACCTCTGATGTTTTAGAGATTCGCGTTTGCTCTACTCCAAAATTTGTTTTGTTTAATGGACCTTGAGCTTGAATACTGTTCGTTATCTCCATATATTTCATCAATTAGATGTTATTTTTGCAAATGAATTACTTTATAGATTAATATTATAATTCTTATTATTGTAGAGGTTTGTAGATGTTGCATTGGAAATTGTCTTAGTGATTGTTGGTAAGAGTAAAATGCAGCCTTGAAGTCCCCTGTCATGTATTGACATACACCCAGGATCTGCCATGAAATGTCCGAGAAGAATATGTTCTCGAACAAACTAAAGTGGACTAAGATCCGTAGGTCATTCAAAGCAGTTTGCACTTTCTGAGTATCAACTTTTCTGTAACATAACAGCTCTAGCATGTGAATAAGAATAAATGGTGGAACGATCAATGATTTCCGTTTCCTTTTGTCAACCTGTTCAATTAAAATTTCTTTGAAATAACAGATATTGTCAAAAAGAATGACATGCATTCCTAGAGCATCTCTCATCTTTATAGACCAGTTTTTGCCTCCTACAGCTTCACTATACATGTACTTTTGTCTTCCTCCTATTTGCAGTAAATGAATCACATATGGTTGTGATAACTTGACCTTTGTCATCTCTATAATAGATAAAGCCTCTGTGTACCTGGATGTCTTGTAATAATACATTGCTAAATACAACGCATCAGAAATACAACCAAACTTGGCCACTAATTTTAGCATGTTACAGGAAATCTTATCAATAATGTACTTTTGTTTGTTGACATTTGTCTCCTTTTACATGTTGTACAAAGTAAAAGATAAAGTAGGAAGAATCAGGCACGTCTCTTTTTGCAAAGTAAGAGCATGATACTGTGTCAAAGGTAACCCTACCAGCATTTCTACGGGGCGTAGGTTTGACTTTTTGCTATAAAGAACGATAAGATTTATCTCCCTGAACAGTAATTCATCAAACATAACCTCAGAGATTAATGTGTGTTCATCTGTACAGATTGAGCATCCAGGATTATAAAGGACATTAAGAACGCGTGCCCTGATGAATGGATAATGTAACAGACATGATACACAACCATTTTCATATAGTGTATACAGTCTAAGGAATAAAATCAATTGTGAATCACTATGAATTTTAGTCAGAAACATGTTGTTTTCTGGAATAAAAAAGTTAGGACATACCCCCTCATACACCCATTTAAGAATGAGTTTGAAGCAGACCCAGAAACATTCCAGAAGATTTTGTGGACACCATTTTAGCAGTTTGTTTTGTTGAATTGCCCAAAAAACGGCGGTTTTCATGTGATATGAACACAATAATTTTTCCTCACTACTTACACCATTGTTAATTACGTCTTTCAAGAACAATTTAAGCAAACCATATGTTAGAAATTGACAGTGGTTCATGGCATACACAAGTTGTGTTTCTGCCAGAGAGAAAGAAATTCTCCATTCAATATCTTCATGAATCCCTAAACTATGCCCAATTGCGACAAAGTGACATCCTTTTCTGACTATTTCGGCAACAAGATGAGGTCCGGGCCATGAGGTACATCTGTGGATCCACGAAGAGGCGGATGGAGGCCAAAAATCAGAAGCAAAACAGTGAGCTTCATCCATATCTACAACACCAGCAAATGCCGAAGAAGCAATGCAGGGACCATGCATTCCACTAGTTATTTCAGTAAAGCCTTTGAAGGATGGTTGTATAGACTGTTTGTATTTAGAACTGGATATATAAAATCTATTTTTCATCACTTTACAGACTTTTTCTAAGTTATTCATAAATGGTAACCACAACAATGTGAATCCTGGTGGACTTTCAGAACTATCCGAGACAATTAAATTCAATTTGTATTTTTCGTAAAACTTAGACTGTCCCAAGTCCCAGATCACACGGTTATGATTTGACCAGTACATCATGTCTACATCAGATATCTTTAGTCTGAATCCTTCTCTGTAACTTCCACTCACCATCCTGCTGATGTAATTTATATTTTCTAGATTGTTCAATAACTCATGCATGTCCAGTACATCTCTCCTCATAGTCACTTGTTCTGAGGTCCCCACTATTGTACAGAGTCCCATAAACACAGACTCTGACAAATGTTGCATACATTTCTCACTGAAACAGAAAAAAAAATTATCAGAAATATGCTTTCAATTTTTGAATATTTTTTATGAGAAAGATTACTATTGACTTACACATTTTTTTTTTTGCACAGAAGAGCAGGAGGCCATTTTTACTTGATTAATTTCATATGTTCCGTTCAGTACGGTAACATTCAACCAACTGAAGTGTCAAGATTAACGATATTCTCTTAAAATATATCGCCTGAGGAAATAGATACTCTATAAACTTTCTTAACGAATCATTTTCTTAAAGCGTAATTAAGCGAACTTTGTAAGTCGAAGTTTGTATTCTCTTAGCTTGTAATATCCTATCAAGAAACACTGGATACATTTTACAATTCTCATAGAAAATAGCCCTGGATAAAGATGATATAAATTTATTGAAAATGAAGGTGGATAATTCAGAATGAATTACATAAAAAATCACATTGTTTCCAGGTTACAATAAATGAGAGTGGGATACCGAATTCATGTTTTCCACTTAAATTTTACTAGTGTAAACACTTTATCAATGTTGTCATTAATAATTGATTTTTATTTGTTGAAATCATTTTTTTTTCTGAAAAACACTTTTTTCTAGTTTCTTTGATCTCTTTAGTTTAGTTTCAATACTGATGTGCAATAAATACATTTAGATTAGGAAAGCCTTTACTAACTCAAATAAATTTAAATTGATTAATGATAAATAAGTATTGTATTAAATATTTGGACTCCACAGACCAATAGCGTGTGTTAATTTGGTTTTAATATATAGATATAATTTAAGAATATATAATAAAAAGGGATTGCATTGGTTGGTATGTGTCTTTGAATTAATGTTGGTTGTAAATGGTGCAAATATCAAATATCTAAAATATTGCGAAATTGTATACTCTATAAGATGTTCAAAATTCAATTTTTGTCATAGCCTCATTAATCTATGCTAGTTTGTACAACTCTGACCAGGAACAAGTGTTCTGTCTGGGAAATTCCACGATGTCACAGAGAAGCCTTTAATAGTAACATGTATTCACATGCTCTGTTTTCTCCATCTATGAATTCGCTCTCACCAATTGCGTAATTATGTACATGGAAGATTGTGATGAATAATAAATTTTAGTTCTCAATGAAAAAAAAGTTGAAAGAAAAATAAATCAATTTATAAGTCGAGTATTGTGCAGTGGTTAGAGCGTTTTCTATAGACTCGCAGATTAAGGAGTTGATCTTCTCTTCGCGTGTTTGAATCCCAATGGGCTTTTGAGAATGATGACCTCTCGTTATCTTCACATTTCATTTGATGAAATAGGAGAAAGAACAAGAACACCAAGGAGGATTTTTATTATAGATGGTCAATATCTAGATACTGTAGAGTGTTTGTTTTAAATGAAAATTTTTGAACATTTTAAGCATAAACTTTTTAAAAAAAAAAAAAAAATCGAACAATGTTATTTCCATGCTACAAATATGTGTGTTAGAAAAAAAGAACCATAACAGTTAAATTTACAACGAACTTGACATGTGGGATCAAAACCATCTTTTATTGCGATGTACATGTATGGAGTGAGGGTGGGGGACTCATTTTAGTCAAGTATTAGTTATATTATTGCAGGGCTTTAATCAAAGGCAAACACTCTGAATTTTTCTAATTTCCTTAGATTGGGTGCCTGCACTATATAGATAAATATTATGAGCTATATTTAGTATAACAAAAGACGTATAGCACAAACACAACACTCTAAACTTATCTAACTTTTATAGAAAGGATGCCTGGATCAAAACGATAAATATTATGTGAGCTTAAGGACAGATGATAAAAGCAAAACAAATTGATGTCTAGATTGGTATATATTTTTGGATCTATTTTGGTTGTTAATGATGTGAATAATAAATTGATAAATTATTAAAAAATTATAAACTTTCTTTCTTGTTCAAAGTTCTACCCATCTGCAGCCATCCTTATTAATCTATACAAGGTTTTGTCACTTAAAATCCCATTATTGTTATCCTTTGAATGGAAAATTAAAATCTATGCGGTTAAACATTAAGTTTACTTTTATAAACATGACTCAAGTTGTTGTTTTCAAGTTATTTTTTATCATCTGTCCTTAAAGGTACTTCATTTAGAAAAGTAAAGTTGATTATATCTTTTGTTGAAACTTTCAATCCTTGTACAGCAATGAAATAATAAGAAAACTTGATTTAGTCCAGTTTTACTAAAAACTCTTTAAAAATAATTTCAGTTGTTGTCTGTATTTAAACAAGGGGGAAAAACCTGCTGATGTATTTGTAAGCTTCATTTCTTTGTTTTACTTCTTTGTATCAATTCAAAAAAGACTTAGCAATCTAAAATTTCTTGTATGAACTAATCTTCTTAAAAATTGTGATCTCATATTATAAACAGGTGCTTGTTTTAAAGTCAATAATGAATGAACAATAGCCGAAGACAACTCATGAAAAGTGACCGTCATGGCCCATAAGTCTATTCTTCTTGAGAATGAGCATTTTCTCCAACAATCTCACCTTTTCGTTTGGCAAAGTAAATAATTGGTGGAAAATCATTTCAGTACTTACAGGATCATCAATGGTATATGGAGTTTCCCCCTGTTTTTTTAAATTTTTATTTATTTATTTATTATTTGGTCACCTTCAGATTTCGCTTCAAAATAGACCAAATGACCAAATCATAAATGGAAAGACAGATGTCTACTTTATTTACTAAAATAGGTTTTTGGGATTGACAGCCCTGTAATTAATCTGTTGTAATTATCAGGTGAGTATTTCTACGTCTCTTGTTTCTCGTCGTTCTTATCATCACAAAACAGAAATGAAACACTTAGGAAAAACTATTTTGGACAATTTTCTTCAAATGGTAGAAAGGAAAACCAAACTATATTGTCTGGGGATGAATGTAATTAGATAAACGGGATATTTTAAAACTAGTGCTTTTAGTGTGAAGAAGATTTGTTAATATTTTTGGGAAATTCACATATTCTTTGCTAAAAAATGGGTAGAGATAAATCTGGTTCAATAAAATGCAAGACTAAACTTTAAAACAAATATTTACCTGGTTCAAATGAAATATGAAGATAATAAATTAAATGCAAGACTGAACGCTAACACTATAATATTTATCTTTTTCCAAGCTCTAGTTGAATTACTAGTAAGCTCTGCTGTTGTATATATGTTCTGTGTGTAGACTTTTGTGAAAGCTTCTAATGATATGCAGTGATTTCCTTTTTATTCACTTTTGTGTCACATGATAAAAAAAGTTGAAAACTGCTCTCTAGATTGGTCTGTTTTTTAATAATTAGTAAAACACTTCCTTTGTCCTGTTTCTTCTCGTCACAAGTCGCAAACAATGTACATAGAAAGTGCTATCTTGTCTGATTTTTAGAAATAAAGAGAAAATTCTAAGCACATTCCCTGAGGGTGTATATTTAACGTATGATAATGTGGAACTTTCCAAATTTCCATATTTAGCACAAGAAAGATTATTGATTATTTCTAAGGTTGTGAAATATATCACAACTTTACTCACGACATGGAAATAAAAAAAGTTGTTTAATAATCTCTTTCCTCGAATATTAATTCTTGATGAAATCAGACTTTAAATACGCCCGATTTGTTTACTCTATCTTCAGTTAGCTGGAGTTCTCTCCTTTCTTTTACTCAGTCTTTTGTTTACCAATTATATAAAGCTTTGCTTTTTCAATATTTGCTACGGATTGCTCCATTTACCTGATCAAGACATGGCAGATGTTACTACTAAACAGCGAATACTTACTCTTCTTAGTCACCTCATCCAACCTCCGCTCTGTTTGTGTTTTGCCCTTTAACGATTCATTTTTTCGTAGTTTTTTTTTTAGATTCATCACTGTTTGCTATCTCTAACTTTATCATTTGACCATAAAATTGTTACATATGAGAAATTGGTTTGTGTCAGTGACATCTGGTGTCAAAATAAAGGTTGAGAAGATCGTCATCATTTCAGGCCATTTGGTCAAAGAAGGGGGGCAACATTTCTCACATAAGAAACTTGAATAATTGTTATTGTTGCTGAACGTATAATAAAATATTTTTGTGCGTTGTGATTTTAAATCATATCTGTGAATATGGCAAGGAGCACACGGCGGGTGTGACCGTTCGGCAGGGATGCTCATTCCTCCATGGCACCTGATCTCACCACCTCTGATGTTTAACCAACCCATGCATGTTTTAGAGATGCGTGTTTGCTCTACTCCTGATTTGTATTGTTTGAATGGACTTCTGAGCTTGAATACTGTTCGTTATCTCCATATATTTCATACAATAGAGAGTAAGTAGATACATACTTAATGTACTGAAAACACTTGTGAAACCATTTTCATTGTGTAGAACAGGGAAAAAAGGCTAGGCTTATATGAATTGAGGAAATTACAGCCATACACTTTTGTGAAGGAGAAGGCCAAAATTATGGATAAAATTTCTGAAACCAAGAAAAATCATTTATATTCTAGCCCAATCCCGACCGTCGTTATTTTTACATCTTTAGCAAGTACTAATTGTTTGAATACTGATATTTAAACGTTTGTCTATTTAGTTCATAAAATTAATATGCTATGATAATTGTGAGATGTGTATAAACGGTTTGAAATATGAACTATTTCACAAAAACCCTTCAGTAAAAATTAGAAAGTATCAGAAAGTATCGTTGGGCCAGGCGGCATATGCCTCAATGACCTTAAGTTTTAAGCACTAAAACAGCTTCCCCATAAATTAAACTAGAAACTATTTCTATTTATAATTTCTACTTTATAGGAATAAAAAACAGGTCAGCTAATAAAAGAGCACAATAAGTGCCCATCGGTATTCCAACATTTTGTTGGAAGACCTGGTCTCCGAAGACTACATAAATGTTGTAAATGAGGAATTCTAGCATCCTTTTAATTTCAACTTCAGAGTATTTGTGTAGAATCAGAGTGATTTTTAACAAAGTAATTTTGTTGATGACCAACAAGATACGAAAAATTCCAAGTTCGAATTTTATTGAAGAAGTAGTTGTCTTTCATATCAAAATGCCTATTTCTCTAGACGTTGTTTTGGAATTTTTATGTTTCACACCTCATTAACACCACTTCTAGAATATAATGTAGCACAGGAAGTCTAAACTTTCTCCTTTACGGCAGTTAATGCTTTTAAAATTAATTAAAGATAGGGGCTTGGTAAAGCATTTTCTAGCCCGGGCAATATATCTTTGCAAGGAAAGATTTTTATGACGTTTAAGAATCCAGTATAGGAAGGATACATCGAACTCAACTTGGTTGACTTGAATGTTTAAAGTATCAAACACTAAAATCAGTTAAGAATTTTATTCTTAGAAAAACAAAACTGTGAGTATAAGTTGGATTTCCAGACTTTGAATTAAATCAAAGTTTTAAAATACAGTTATAATAATAAGCCTTATAAAGACATTGTTTTACAAGCTGGATCCATAACATATTGTTGATTTAGGCTTGCTAATTCTTTTACTACTTCCCATAAATTATTTGTAGAGCTTAGTGTCAGATATGCAAAATAGGATACTATTCAACCATTTTGAGTGGTATTTACTGCGTCTAAAATATTAAGAAATTGTCCTAAAATTCAATTTGATTAAAACTAGACTCGTATTTTTGCTCCTCTACTATACGCTTCAATACAAGATCTTTAGTAGAGGAGCGAAAATACAGGTCTTCTTTTAATTAGATTGTCCTTAAATTGTTCCATCTTTCAACACAAATAATTCTTTTTATGTTTTAATGTAGATTAAAATTGTTTGTCATAATAGCTATAGTCAACATAAACAATGTGATTCTGTGATAAAACAATAAAAAATTCTACCTAATACTATAAAACTCTGTTCACTTTATCAATATGCAAGCTCGTTTGTTGGTGCATCGGAATAGGAATAGAGCTGACTATCCCACGTGACCAATGAACAGATCATAGTTGTCTTTGTTATATTTGAGTTCTACTCATTAGAAAAAATTATAGATCAATATTATAATTCTGATAATTGTAGCAGTCTGCATCTGATGTAATGGATATTGTCTGAGTGATTTTTGGAAAGCGTAAAATGCAGCCTTGAAGTTCCCTGCCATGTAGTGACAAATTCCCAAGATCTGCCATGAAATGTCTCCAAACATTAAAGTTTCGATCCAGTTATTTTGAATTCTGTCCCATAAGTCATTCAAAGCTGTTTGTACTCCCTTTGAATCAACATAAGTGTAACACAAAATGTCTAGCATGTGTAGCAACACAAAAGGTGGAATTCCTAAATCAAGCCACCTGCATTTTTCAGACTGTTCTATCAGTAATTCATTGATAAAATTTATATCGTTGAAAAGCGTGGTTCTCCATGCTACGCCCTATCTCATCTTTTTAGACCAAGATTTTCCTCCTAAAACCTGAGTATACCTCTCTCTGTCTCCTTTATGTACTATATACATTACGTGTGGTTGTGATAACTTGACCTTTGTCATCTCTATAATAGATAAAGCTCCTGTGTATCTGGAGGTCTTGTAATAATACATTGCTAAATACAACAAATCAGAAATACAACCAAACTTGGCCACTAATTTCAGCATGTTACACGAAATCTTGTCAGTAATGTACCTCTGCTTGTTGACACCTCTGTCAGTGTTCATGTTGTGTAATATAAAAGCAGTGGTTGAGAGAATTTTGCACGTATGTCTCTGTAAAGCGACAACTTGGTATTGTGTCAAAGGTAACTTAATCAACTTTTCCACGACTTGTACGTTTGAATTTATTTCATGGTGAATATTGTAATTTATCTCTTCAAACAGTAATTGATCAAATATTTCCTCCGAGATCAACTTGTGTTCATCTATAGTGACTGCCAGACCAGGATTATAAAGTACATTTAGAACATTCGCCCTGATTGAGGAACAATGCAACAGACACGAAACACTGCCTTTCTCATACAATGTATACAGTCTAAGAAATAAAATCGTTTGTGAATCATCATGGACTTTAGACAGAAACATGTTGTTTTCTGGAATGAAAAAGTTAGGACATACCCCTTCATACACCCATCTTAGAATAAGTTTAAAGCAAACCCAGAAACACTGCAGGAGAATTTGGGGGTTCCAGTGTGATACTGAGTTTTGTTGAATCACCCAAAAAACGGCTGTCTTCATATGATAAGAACACAGTATTTTATCTTCACTGTTTAAGCCATTATTAATTACCTCCTTAAGGAACAGTTTCAGTAAACCATAAATTAAAAACTGACAATGGTTCATTGAATATACAAGTTGCTGTTCTGCTAGAGAGAAAGATATCCTCCATTCATTATCTTCATGATTTCCAAGACTGTGTCCTATTGCAACAAAGTGGCATCCTTTTTTGACAATATCGCGAACAACATGAGGTTTGGGCCATGTAAGGCATCTCCTTACCCATGAGGAGGCTGATGGAGGCCAGGAACTGCTCTGAAAGGTATGGGCCAAATCAATTTCAATAACTCCATTCAAAGATCCACTTTTGCATGGACCATGGATAGTAGCATTTCCCATCATATATGAAGGCATGATCTGTTTATATTTTAAGCTAGATATATAAAGTTTATCTTTAATCATTACACATGAAGACAGAATACTACTGTTTGTCTTTTGTTGAATCGGAAGCCATAGTAAAGTGAATCCTGGCGGGCTATCAGAATTGTCTGAAACAATTAATATTTGATTTTGTTCATTGTAGTACTGAAACAGAGATACATCCCAAATCACTTGGTGATTAACTGGCCAGTACATAAAGTCTCTATCAGATCCTAAAAGTCTGAATCCTTCTTTGAAACTTCCACTTATCATCATGATAAATTCTTTTTTATTTGCTTCATTCTTTATCATCTCATAGAAGTCTGCAACATCTCTCCTCATGGTCACTAGTTCTGCTGTTCCCAGTATGTTGCAGAGTCCGATAAACACAGACTCTGACAAACGTGGCAAACATTTTTCACTAAAACAAAAAGGTTAATAAAATTTTATACTCAAAATTATTTTTAGAAAATCTACTGGTAATGAAACATATGCTTACGTACTGATAATTGACAGAAAACTTATTGAAAAAATAAATATTCCATAAAAAATACTTACACAGTATTTCTTTTCGAGTATGAAGGAGAGCTGAAAGCCATGTGTACTGGAGATTTTAATGTGATCCTCTCAGCGCGGATATTCCGACCAAAAGAAGTTTGTGTTTCAACCGGTAGCACTTAGAAATACATTTCCTGGGGATGTGGAATCTACAGTTTTGCTGACTAAAATCAAGCGATTTTCCTCCCTTCCGCCACATTCCTCCCTTCTTAAAAGTCTTTGGCCCGGAAACACCAACTCAGGCTTTTTCCTGGAGGTCCTTTATCCGTCTCTTCCAGGGCATGGTCACAACACCAAATTATGTTAAAGGAAAGCAAAAATTGCATGTTTTGATGAGGATTCAAACCTGGGACCCCTTCATCAGTTGTCAGTTCCTCAAGCCTCTGAGCTACCCAGGTCAATATCCATTGCCCAACCCATTACAGTTTAAGTTGTCATTAATATGAGTAGAGTGTGACTTAATTTTTTCAGAAACTTTCAGTCCGCTCACAAATTTCCAGCAATTAGCACGATATTTACAAATTTACATTTTAACCACGATATAAAAGAACAGAAGCTTCTGATGGTGTTAAAAGATCTGCAGATCTATAAAATACATGTAGTCTAGCACTTGTAACGTTATGTAGATTGAATTATTGTTGTAAATTTATCATTATAAAGTTTGAAATCCCATGTAGAAAACGTCAAAACTCTGATAAGCGTGGGCTGCTATTTTCAATATATAGTTGGACTTCTTTAGCAATGTGTATTTTGGTTTTTACTGGAGAACATTTTCTATGCGAGAAACATTAAAGATAGTTTCATGATGGATGGAAGATGCACGATTCTGAGGGACAACTAGCTTGGACTGTGTTTCAGAGGTTTAATTAGCATGTTTTTCTATCGTGCGCATGGCCTTAATCTGATTTAAGCTTATTTTTGGGCAGTGTGCATCTTAAGAAAAAGCCTCAAAATATTCTTAAAAAATATCCTAATTTTTTTCAGATAAAAGTGTTTGCTCACCAAATATTGTCGACACCAGTAAGGTATTGTCAACACCAGTAAGATATTGTCTACACCAGTAAGGTATTGTCAACACCAGTAAGATATTGTCAACACTAGTAAGGTATTGTCAACACCAGTAAGGTATTGTCAACACCAGTAAGGTATTGTCAACACTAGTAAGGTATTGTCAGCACCAGTAAGATATTGTCAACACTAGTAAGGTATTGTCAACACCAGTAAGGTATTGTCAACACCAGTAAGGTATTGTCAACACTAGTAAGGTATTGTCAACACCAGTAAGGTATTGTCAACACCAGTAAGGTATTGTCAACACTAGTAAGGTATTGTCTACACTAGTAAGGTATTGTCAACACCAGTAAGGTATTGTCAACACTAGTGAGGTATTGTCAACACCATTAAGGTATTGTCAACACCAGTAAGGTATTGTCAACAACAGTAAGATACTGTCATCACTAGTAAGGTATCGTCAACACCAGTAAGGTATTGTCAACACTAGTAATGTATTGTCAACACTAGTAAAGTACTGTCTATACCAGTAAGGTATTGTCAACACTAGTAAGGTATTGTCAACACCAGTAAGGTATTTTCTACACTAGTAAAGTACTGTCTACACCAGTAAGGTATTATCAACACCAGTAAGGTATTGTCAACACTAGTAAAGTACTGTCTACACCAGTAAGGTATTGTCAACACTAGTAAGGAATTATCAACACCAGTAAGGTATTTTCAACACTAGTAAAGTACTGTCTACACCAGTAAGGTATTGTCAACACTAGTAAGGAATTGTCAACACCAGTAAGGTATTTTCAACACAAATAAAGTACTGTCTACACCAGTAAGGTATTATCAACACCAGTAAGGTATTGTCAACACTAAAAAAGTACTGTCAACACCAGTAATGTATTGTCAACACCAGTAAGGTATTGTCAACACTAGTAAGGTATTGTTTACACCAGTAAGTTATTATCTACACCAGTAAGGTACTATCAACACCAGTAAGGTATTATCAACACCAGTAAGGTATTGTCAACACTAATAAGATATTGTCAACAGTAGTAAAGTATTGTCTACACCAGTAAGGTATTGTCAACACCAGGAAGGTATTGTTTACACTAGTAAGGTATTGTTAACAGCAGTAAGGTATTGTCAACACCAGTAAGGTATTGTCTACACTAGTAAGGTATTGTCTACACTAGTAAGGTATTGTTTACACAAGTAAGGTATTGTAAACAGCAGTAAGGTATTGTCAGCACCAGTAAGATATTGTCAACACTAGTAAGGTATTGTCAACACCAGTAAGATATTGTCAACACTAGTACGATATAGTCAACACTAGATAGGTATTGTCAACACTAGTAAAGTAATGTCAACACTTATAAAGTAATGTTAACACTAGTAAGGTATTGTTTACACCAGTAAGTTATTATCTACACCAGTAAGGTACTATCAACACCAGTAAGGTATTATCAACACCAGTAAGGTATTGTCAACACTAATAAGATATTGTCAACAGTAGTAAAGTATTGTCTACACCAGTAAGGTATTGTCAACACCAGGAAGGTATTGTTTACACTAGTAAGGTATTGTTAACAGCAGTAAGGTATTGTCAACACCAGTAAGGTATTGTCTACACTAGTAAGGTATTGTCTACACTAGTAAGGTATTGTTTACACAAGTAAGGTATTGTAAACAGCAGTAAGGTATTGTCAACACTAGTAAGGTATTGTCAACACTAGTAAGGTATTGTCAACACCAGTAAGATATTGTTAACACTAGTAAGGTATTGTTAAGAACACTTAGGTATTAAATTTATTTGTACTGTTCAGAATACGATAAAATCAATGCATAATACAATAGATAATAGTAGATGAATTTGCAGCTGTCAATGGTGTAACTGTATCGTTAATGACCCTTTTAAAATATCCTTCATAATAATGTTTTTTTTTTTCATTTATATATAGTAAATTAATAAATGTCATCCATTAAAGTGATGAGAAATTTGTTTAACGTAGTAAAAAAATATAATACGAGAAAGTACTAATCATGTCAATGGATGCAACACAGAAACCTATGCTACATTTTATTATTATTTGTTTTAGGCCATTAGCATTTCTGTAGATAGCAAATTTTTGCAACACATTATTTAATCTCAAGAAAAATATGAAGGATTTAAAAGCAGGATAATTTTTTAAAGAATGTTGGTCATTGTAATAAATATTTTACAATAGGTCAGAAAAATTTTGGCGCGAGTCTTACGTATTTATGCAAAAAAAAAAGCTTCTAGAGGATAAAAAGTGATCTAGTGTTTATAAAAGGCATTGACATAGATAAAATAAAAAAAAAACCTCTTATTGAATTAATATACTTTTGGTGTACGATTACTACAAGATGTACGCAGAAAAAATAGGAACCGACAAATCATAAAACCAATATACCACGAATGTTGATCTCATTATACGTGACATATTAATTTAAAAATTTAAACACCTACCATGTGGATACCAGATGATGACTCTTGATAAAGGCAATCAAAGCCAGGCTGTTTTACAATGTAATTAGTCAAGGCTGTATGGTGTACAGTGAACAACACTGATCATCACCCAGAGATAAACTGTCTCTATTCAGTGGATAATCTTTGTGAGAACCCGAGCGTATTGTCGATCGGTACATCTCTGGACTGTTGACAATACAAACCAGTATACCAATGACACCTGATACATAATTAACTGGTAAGAGAATATATTTAGTTTGTTTACTTAAATATATCATACAATATTTAATTTTAATTTATAAAGCAATTAAAGCCATGGATTTGGATTTTTGTTTACATTTATCCAGTTTTGAAATACATGTACACGTATATATTTCAAAATATTATTTTCTGTTGAAAATTAACGCTTGGAAGCATTAATTTCCTGCTCTAGGTATCGAATAAACATTTTTTTCGTCAAAGGATCAAAATGAATTCTTATATTTGGAGTATTGTATATGTGTTATAATTGTATATAACAAGAAACTATGAATTTTCCAACTTTATTTAATTATCATAAAGAGGCTCATTTTGCTAAATGACGACCCTTAACTTAAGAAGATTAATTAGTTCTAAAATCAAAATGTCGATACATACTTGCTTTATTTGGAAAAAAAAATTGTGCAATCATGGTAAATGATTGTAAACTTTCTTGATTGAAATAATCATATCTGCCTTTCATTTATCACTTCGGGACCCCGTAGTTATAGGGCGGACGACGCGTTGATCGAATGCTGTGCGGAGTGGTCCATCGATAAGTTAAAGGTTTTTGTGCGAAAAGTTATGATTTCGACTTTTAAGACTTAAAAAAATGAGCTGTGAGAATTTTATTTTGCTAAAATTGTGCTTTTATAATAATTGGCATATAATTTAAACCTTTATGTTCAATAAGATTAAAACTAAGCATTCAATTTGAACAGAAGAAGGAATTCTGTAAATTGAATTGTATATTATTATAGAAGAGATCAATTTTTGAACAGGATGACAATAACTTGATTTTGATTCAATCAGAGCTTCTAAATAACTCTTCCAATGCAAATATCAATATCAAAAAAGTTTATAAAGCTTCAATTTTTCTTTCATTGAAATAGTAAATTACAATTTTAGGACAAAAATGTCTGACACGAAAATTGTACCTTATATTGCTTTAAAATAGTTATTGACTGTTCCCTCGAAAAGTGCTGGTCAATAATAAGAGAAAGGCAAAGGCAGATCAAGCGCCGGCGCGGCGCCCCCCTTCCCCCTTTTGATTTGTTTTAATAGTAGAACTTATATGTCCACTATCCTAAATTCAATGAAAAAACACCCCTTATTTGTAGGAATTCGTTAAGCCCCCACCAGGGCTTTGCCCTGGTCCCACAGGGGACTTCAATACAGCCCCCCAACCCCCCGTCTTCTACCCCCGCCCCCACCCACTTATGAAATTCCTGGATGCGCCACTGAAAGTCATGGGTCTTAAGGATGAGATCTTGGAAATTACAGTAAAACTCGTTTAGTACGAACACG